GAATTTTGAACTGAATGACATATAAAAACTCTACAGCATGCCATATGTTATGGAGACTGATTGTGTCATTATTCACAGTAGGTATGCACATGTCTATGAATGTCCAAGGTGGCAAAAGTGTAGGTGCTTCAATGAATATGTACAGCAGGGTTTTCAGAATATTTCCCTCCAAATAATGGACAATAGTAAGGGTAGGACTTGAACTCCAATGTATTTGTATTCATGAGAAGCATGTTTGTCCCCCCCTCCAACATGCAGTACACTCTTCTTCTTATTTTAAAAGTCTCAACGTTTGGAAGAAAGGATAGCACTTTTAAAAAGATTTTAATAATTGGTCTCCAACATTCTTAGGTCAATGAGAAGAGCACATTTGTCTGAGTATAATTATACAGCATGTATTTACAGCAAGTATTTTTGGGCAGTATGCATAAATTCATTTGAATCGTGCTTGACATCATGGTGTTGGTGTTCAATTCAATATGTAGTTTTGCATATCCTGAGAAATCTGGTTACCAATGTCATTTTGTTACAGTTGTCCTGGGTGTGTATTGTTTTGTTCAGCTGACGTATCAAATACACATTTTCATCCGAGATGAGCCATTTGCCATTCAATACATCCAAAATGCCTGGGAGAAGGTCACAAGTTCTCCACTGTACCTGTATAAACAATCATGAATGGTACACAGTGTCCCCAAAGTATGTGCATGTACTTACAGATTTGTCATGAAGTTTGCACTACCAGTTTGATAGTACAGCCAGCCCATCCTCTCTACAACCTAAGCTCCTGGCCAGTGATCTACACATACATTCATGAACAGTGTACAGGAAGCATATGGTGGCTGGAAAAGGGACCCCTCATCAGCTGCCAGAACCATGCTCAATGCATTTCATCTCAAGACCAAGTTCTGAAGTAAAAAAGAAAAGAGAAACAAGTATGAATGTTACTTTAGTCAACTTTTAAGTTAGAAGTTAAGTGTACTAGATGTAGCAAGGAAAGACCTTTATTTCATGGAATGGACTTGACTTATGATATATGCATAAAACAGAGAGCAATATTCTAAAATACATGTATTGACATTCCATGAAGCCTTTATAGAACTCTGCAAAAGTTTCATTTTCACAACAGACATCTTGTCTCTGACATGTCCTCAATACCGTTCATGGAAAACAACCACTTTGAGGAAAAAATGAATGAAACTCATTTAATACAAAACAGGAAATGTCATGCATGAGCATGGGTGGATCCAGGATTTTACAGAAATAAAAATACAATGGATTCATCAACCGAAAATGGCCGTGAGAGATTTAAGAGGCATTACATTTCTTCATACTCAAAACGGAAGCCTTTTTGTAATTCTTCGTATGGCTGTTTTCCCTACTTATGTTGTACTTTGATGTGGTTTTGCAGTTTGTGGACCCAAATGATCAACTTTCACTGGATGGATTACCCTTGTTAAAGATAGTTTAAATAATACATGTATAATCCTACTGTAGGCCAAAATAATGTACACGTACACGCAAATATTCATTGTGAACAATTATATGGTCAATGTCGTGTTAGATTCAGGGGTGTGATTTGGTAAAATTGAAAAATCCACGAAACATACTTCGGAGGGTTTTGCAAGTCATGTCGGCCACAGCTTCCCTACAAATCGCAGCATTTCTATTTGATTATAGGAGGAGATTCTGGTACTACATGTACATGTACACGTAAGCCACCACAAGAGCTGTTCTTACTTTGAAGGATACAATTATAACATTTACTGCAACAAAACTCTTGTCCTCATTCACTTCAATTGCAATTAGCTGTAATTGATGACAATCAAAAACCTACATTGTAGAAGTGTCATACACACACAAATGCAGTTATCAGTGATCCACAAAATTTTATCACAATTTATTAAAACTGAAAACTGTCTCATACAGATGTGTACTGCATTACTTGTGACACCACGTGCACTTGCAGTACCCGGGTTTGTTGATTTTCAGGAGAAAGTTACGATAATATATCGATTTCCCTTTGGTTAATTCTCTGTCCACCTCGGTTTCCAGCCAGGAAAAGTTTCCAAGAATTCTTTAATCCTCTGTCTACATTCAGATCTCCTTCCTTACCGACTACCCTGTATGACATTTTTTATGGATGTCAACGACATCAGACCACCACGAGAACGAAACGCAATGGTAGATGGATGCAAGTTGTATACAGTGCATGCAACGACAACACGTGTCCCGTGCATACACACACAGCAAACGTACAGTGCGTACACTGTACAGTACATGTACATACAAAAAAAATGATCATACCACTGGCCTGGGTCCCTACATGTATGTTTTAACAATGATACCCCCTCCGTTCAATTACCTAAGTATCTGGCGCGTTTCCAGGGGGAGTAACAACGCAAAAGCGCATGCTACACACCTAAACTTGTGCAAATCTTTTGCTTAGTTTCGCACCAAATATCTCAGTCTTTGCGTTACACATTGAAAGCATTGACAATACGGAAATCCGGAAAGTCTCAAAGAAATTCCGCAAATCTGAAAAAATCATACCCCTGTAGATTACTACATGTAGGTACATGTAATTTGAAAGTGTCGGCAGCACATGAACGATACATGTAGTGCTACTTTCATAAGTCCTCCAAATGACCTCTTTTGGGGGACTTCAGTGTCAAAGCCAACATACAGTACATTGTTACAGCATGGAGACATAAAACATAGAGAAAGTTCAGTAACAACTTTTGGCGTAAAGCTAATAGTTCAGTCTGCAAGTCAAGTCATTGTAAATTAGTCTTTGAGCAAGTCTGAAAAAGTTACCACTGTAAGCACTTGCCTTGAACCCAAACCCCTTGCAAATTAATTTACACAACTTGAAAACA